TATATATATATATATATATAAAAGAAAGATTAGTTATTATCAATATAGGTTATATAGCTTATACATGCAGTAGAAAATGTAAATAACGTTGCTAATTTTGTTAATTTTTCTTTGAATAGTTTACCTTCAAGGCTGAGAGTTTGTTTGCTTGTTGCATTGGATCCAGTACATTTTTATTCACCTGGAACATTAAAATATTACAATAAAAATGAATATCACAATATATTTTTAGATGTCTTTGATATTTTAATGTTATTTTATCTCAAAACAATTACCTTATCATCATTCATTTTAAATCTAGAATCCTTGCAGCAGTGAGTAAAGTGATTTATGTTATCACATTTTGTGCACTTTGATCCCCAAGCAGGACACTTTCCAAATGGATGATGATAGTCACATCTCCAACAACTTTTCTTCATCTTATCATTATTTGATGGTTTTGGTATAAAATTTTTGGATTCTGTTCTACTTTCTTTAGTAACTTCTTTAATCTTTTCAGTATTAATCTTGTAATCATTGTAAATCATTACTAATTTCGACAAATCTAAATTGTCTTCTTCAAAAAATTTTTTACGCAATATTTTGTCGTGAGTGTCAAGAATGATTTTATCTCGTATAATACTATCTGTCATATCTTTAAAATTGCAAGTTTTAGCTTTTTCCTACAAAATATAACAAAAATTTCAATACATAAATAATTCAATACATAAATAATTTACTTATTAAAGGAAAATATACAATCACAAGTATCACGTACTCTTAAAATATTTATATATTGTTCAATAGACTCATTTTGCTTTTTTGATCTTGTAAAAAAGTGGTATCGTTCAACTGCCTCTTTTTTGGGAGAATTAAAGTATTCGTCAAGCTTTTCAATCAATATATCCATATCATCTTTGTCTCGTATATTGTTAAAAGATATATTTTGTATTGCTTCAATACCAACTTTTCCAATCCGGTTTTTCAAAAGATTCGCTCGTACTTCATTAGGTTTATCAATATATCCAGTTACTTTCATAAATATAATGAAATCTTCTTTCCAGGTTTGCCAGTTGCTAGTTATATTATCTTCTGTTAAAGGATCTGGAGCACGCGCGTATGCCTCCATGATAAATGCCAAACTTACTACAAAAAAAAAATTATCTTTCAAAATCTTCTATTAAATCTTCTTTCAAAATCTTAATTTTATTTTAGTCTCAATTTTGTATCAAATTGTATAAATTAAAAATGCAATATAAATTTTTATAAGATTTGTCATTTTACATACATAGAATAAAATATACGCGAGTAAATTACAAAAGAAAAATTAATTCTTTGATGAAAAGAAAAAATCACTTGTCAGTATAAAAAAATGTTTCTTTTCAATTATGATTGAAAAATTAAATTGGTTATTATTTAATGAATACTAGCGCTGTTTTCATTGTCTAAACAAACGTCATCAGACATGATCATGTTTTTTCCACTAAAAATTGCGAGAATAATATCGAAGCCATCAATGATAAACATACTACTATATTTGTACTTTTTGCAAATATTACACTTATTAACTCACATAAATAAATTACATTATATTTAATTTTACTGATAAAATTAATAAAATATGTTATTAATTTCTCAACATTAAAGGATAAAAGTTATATATTTAAATTTAATAAAAAAGGTTAACTTTATTAATAGAAATTTTTCTCAATCTAATCAATCAGAAACATAATTTTAAACATTTAAAGATAATAATATAGAGACTAATGAGCTTGATACTCGTATTAAGTTTTATAAATAACAAAGATATACGATATTAAAATAAAGTCATATATTATGATGAATCAAATGTTTCGATCAATAACGGTCATCTTCAATGTAATAGTAAGAAATAAGAAATTTTACATTACATTACAGTGGAAATCTTTGCTAGATATAATAATGCATGCACATGTCGATGTAATCATCCAAATACTTGGAACTTTGGAAACATGGTTTCAATATTTATTTAGATACCTGCAGTGATTTATTAATAGTTATAACTGAAATCAAGAATTGCGTTAAGTTCAACAACAAATCCTCATGAATTATGTTATTAGACTTAATAGTGCAATTTTTGATTTCAGTTTCAAAGATTCATTATTCACAATTTAATATGTACGAAGAATATTTGATTGTTGTAACTATCGATATGAATTACTGTAACTTTATTTTAATTTGATATTACATATTTAATATTTATAAAATTTAATAGGACGAGTATCTAACTCGGCTCATTAGCTCCTACATTATTATCTTTGATCTCATGTTGTAATTTACAATTTAAACAATAAAAGTTATTAAAAATCATGTAATCTTCTCTGAGATATGATTAAACATTATTTATTAATGAAGAAACGAAAATTAACATTATGTATTAATGAAGAAAAGATTAGTCAAGAAAAACTTAAAATTATATTAACTATGTTCACAAGCAAGGCATGTATACAGAGTGTTGAAAAAAAGATAGAAACCTCTAAATAACTCAGAGAATATAAGTTTTATATAAAGATGTTTCAGACAAAAGTTGTAGAGTTTAAAAAGATGTATTTACTGATCTTATTGATTTAACCTTGTCCCTGGGTGGTGTTGTTAAGGTCACGGAAAGATCACTTTAAATTTTTAAAATGGAAATCCTATTTTTCATTTCATTTTTGTATCTTATTTTAAGAGCTTTCCAAAATACTATAATATTTTTTCATTAAGCACTTTTCGAGTTTAAGATTTGAAAGTTACAGTACCGCCGACATTAGCAATATTAGTATTATTCAAGGTGTCCGAACAATGGCTAAAACCTTTTGAATGTTGTTCAGGATCATGAGCATGACAACATGTCAAGGTCATGATCATTGGAGGTTGTTGCTGTTATTTTCATTTTTGAAAATTTTTATTTTTTGAAAAAAAGAGGAACAATCTCCAATTCTGATTATGATCTTGATATGTTATCAAGCTCATGATCCTGAATAACATTCAAAAGGTTTTAGATATTGTTCAGACACCTTGGATAATGCTAATCCTAGTGGTAACTTCAAGTCATAATTATAACTCGAAAAGTGCTTATGGAAAAATATTTTATTCTAGTGCTTTGAAAAGCTCTCAAGATAAGCTGCAATAATATGCAATGAAAAATGAGGGGTTCCATTAAAAAAATTTAAAGTGATCTTTCCCTGGCCTTGCCACCCAAGGTCAAACCAATAAGATCAATAAATACATCTTTTTAAATCCTACAACTTTTGTCTGAAACATTTTTCTATAAAACTTATATTTTCCGAGTTTTTCAGGGGTTTCGACCTTTTTTCAACACCCTGTATAACCTATATCTATTCCATACAGAAAAAAGAAATTGTATTATTAGAATATATAGATTATATGTCTTGCTCTCATGTATGATCTCAAGTTCTGAAGCAAAAGTGTGATATGTATTTTTCTTAATTTGTTAAAGATATTCATATGCCATATTATTAGATGACATGATTGAGATAAGTCGATAAGACTACGTTTACTTTACACGTCACTCTTAATCGGGTTTAATAACATCCGTATGTAGTTATTAAACTACCATGGTTAATCCTCTGAAGAATAAAATGACTATGATTGACCAGATTTCATAACTACAGATGTTATTAAACCCGATTAAGAGTAAAGTGTAAACGTAGACATTGACGATTAACGATATCACGCAATTTCTACAATCATTTTAATGTTTTCTAATGCACTTACCTGGTCGTAGAAAACAAAATTGTCTTGAAAATAATAAGATTTTGCGTTCGTTTGATGCAAAATACTTAAATCATGCTTGCGTAAAACCCGTGTGAACAAACAAAGCGGACTTGCTATCCGTGACTGATTAAAGTAGATGACAGTACAAGATAACCACAAATAGCGTACTCTCGAGTCTCGTTCTGCCACGTTCTGCTGATTTTGCACCAATTATCAAAGCTATGTGTATATATATGTATGTATATACACACGGGGATGGAAATGCCCCGCTATCGAACAATAAACTTGCAGGAATACCGCGGAGCATACATACAATACATACGTAAAACGGGTATTCCCCACATACTCACATAAGTAGCTAAACGTCTCTGTGGAAGTGGAAGCAGTGGAAGCGCCCAAAGCATATATATATATTATGTGTGTGTGTGTGTGTGTGTGTGTGTGTGTGTGTGTGTGTGTGTGTGTGTGGTGGTTGTGTGTCCCTGGTCAGAGTCTATATTGACGTAGAATATATTGTAGAAGAAAGCATTTCGCAAACCCGGCTTCCTGCCATTTCCTTTTTTGCCACCGATGGCGTTTCGATCGTCCGCGCGTGCAGACACGCCATTGGCCCTCAGCTCTAATCGCGTAGCGATTGGGCCGTTACCACAGTATAACCAATAGGTC